TAAATTATAAGACGTGGGGATTTTCCATTATTCAACTCCCAGATTGCAGGGACAAACACAGTTCCACCCAAGTCACACTGCCGATTAATGTAATTACAGTATAATGCCCAGGTGGAGAATTTCTTGGCAATTGTTGACTGGAGGTAAAACTCCCAGGCCAAGATCTTCAGAGATACTTAGGCACCTAATTCCCACTGAAATCAGTGGAAGTTAGGAACCTAAATGCCTTTGAGGAACTGGGCTCCAATGACTTCACTGGGTTCAGGATTTTGCCCCAGGTGCCTTAACTTAGCTATTCTTTAATTCCTAGGGTGCTAGATACTTAACTGGGAAAAGAGGAAGATCAAAGAAATCTTGAGTTAGGCCACAGTCTTCCAGCTTGTAGGGTGTGGGCAGACTGCTGTGCTGAGCATCGAGAAGGGGCTTCAGGCATGCCCAGCAGTTTGCCCACACACAAGTTGCAGGATTGGGACCCTTGTAAATTCTGCCACCCTTTTATTGGAGTGCTTAAGTTTTTTGAATCAGAGGTACTTGGGGTTGGTCTGCACTATGTTATTTTAACAGGATCAGTGATTCTCACTTCCCTGTTTGTTTAAAGAAGAACAGGAGTACTTGTGGCACCTTAGAGACTAACAAATTTATTAGAGCATAAGCTTTCGTGGACTACAGCCCACTTCTTCGGACGCCATCTCTTCCCACCCCCCCCATATCCTCTTTTCTAGCTGCTGCTAACTTTCTAAAAAACAAACAACATAAATCTGTTGGGTCTGAGGTTGCTCATGCTTGGTCTCAGCCCAGAGATGAATTTCTTAAGAAAGTTTGAGAAAAATCAGTTTGTCTATTTATTTTTTCAACGGTACCAGCAGGAAGGAAAAACACACTTTCACCAGTAGTTCCAATCAGAATTGTTGCCGTTACATAACCATAGTGGAAGCTAAGGACTTCAAACTGAGTTTGTTTGATGACATTCACTGTCCTTGTCTTCTCTAGGAAAAAAAGGTTTGTTGTTACTTTGAGTTAGCTGACATGGTAATTAACTTGAGGTAAAATCCTAGTGAAGACAAGATACTAATATAGACAAAGGTTGGCATGAGTGCTCTAAAAATAGCTGTGTAGATGGTGCTTTGAAATCCAGCTTGGGCTCCCCTCCAGGGCTTCAGAGCCTGAACTCCAGCGCAAGCCTCAACATCTACACAGCTGTTTTTAGAACACTAGAGCAGCGGCTCTCAAATTGTGGGTCGGGACCCCAAAGTAGGTCGGGACCCTGTTTTAATGCGGTCGCCAGGGCTGGCGTTAGACTTGCTGGGACCCACTGCCCAGGCTGAAGGCTTTGAGGGCTTCAGCCCTGGGTGGCCAGGCTCAGGTTACAGGCCTCCTGCCTGGGGCTGAAGCCCTTGGGCTTCGTCTTTGGCCCCCTTGCCCAGGGTGGTGGGACTCGGGCTTCGGCTTTGGCCCACCCACCGAGGGCAGCAGCTTAGGTCCCCCTGCTTGGGCCATGTAGTAATTTTTGTTGTCAGAAGGGGGTCGCGGTGCAATAAAGTTTGAGAACCCCTACACTAGAGAAAGTCACACTAGCATCAAGTCTGTAGACCCCGGCTGGGAGGCTTCTCTCCAGATGCAGTGTAGACATGCCGCAGGTAGTTTAACAAGAGGTCTTAAATTTTAGCTAACTTCTTTAACTGCTCCTCCCTCCGAAAGTCTTGTAAAAGCAACTGTGAAACTGCTGTATCTTATTGCAGCTATCCTTAACCGAGCGTGTAAAAGGCTTGACAATGGAGCATTGCCCACCAATGAAACCAGCCTTGTACACCCGATCTGTCAGTGCCTCACATTAATGTCTCCATCCTTTCTGACATCCTGCCCCTTTTGCAGAAAACACCCTCTCCTACTTCAAACTGACCCTTTCTCCTTCAACTCCCTCCCCAAGACCCATTACTGCAATTCTGATAAGGAACAAGCCACTGAATACCAGCAAGTTGAGGGGCAGATGGAGATAGTTATCGCTCGCTTTATAGCAATAAAAAAGAAATGTATGTTTGTATATTGAAGCAGAATGTATTTAACTGTATCCCTACGATTTGTAAGTCACTTGTCGTCTTAGGCCCTCGGCCTGTGAACACATGAGTTCGATAGGACTACTCATGTGCTTTTAAGTATGTGTATACGTGTTTTCAGGTTGCAGCCTTAGACTGTAAATCCTTCGGGAGGGAGGACATGCATCTTTGTATGTGTTTATACAATACCCAGCCCATTAGGGCCATGATCTTCATATAGGACTTCTTGACTCTACTGCAATATAGATGTTTGTATTAATATTCAACATGCAGAGATACAAGCTCCATGGATCTAGCAGAACTATGATACTGATCTCCTTTGCAAAGCACGTTGGAATCTATGAATGCAAACCATTATACAAGAGCTTGGCATTAACTCAGCCTTAAGGTTGCCTTCCTCAGTTAAATCCCCTGCGGTTGTTAAGGTATTTCAGCTGGGACAGGGAAAGCAATTTTTAGATATGCAATTGCGACATCCTGATCTGAACATCTGGGTAAATGTGTACACCCATGTGGGTGGAAGTAGGGTAAAGATCACTAACATAACCTTAAAACTTTAAGCCTGTTTTGTGCAAACTTTCCATAACAAGTCACCTGAGACAGAGCATTGACAATTTCCATCCCAAAATTTCTTTGAGAAATAGGCTAACAATAAAGGCAGGCTAGAATGGAAAGTTCAGTGCTTAACTATGGTGGGCAGTAGACATTTTCACTATTATAGATGGATTTATTGCAGAAATAGAAATAGAAAATATTGAGGAACACTTTTCTTTAAAGGCATTTTCCATTTTATTTTTTACTTTGGTTTACAAACACCCATGGCAGCTTGATACTGAAATGTATTTCACTCGGGGGGGGGGGCGTATTTTTTTCTGTTGCGTATGTGCAGTTTTTTTATCGGGTGGGAGGGTCACTCAGGAGCGTTGTGCTACTCGCATTTTTTTGTTCAAAATTGAGCCCTGGAATGTTTCATTTTGGTGGGGTGGAAAAAGCAGAAAGAATTGCTTGGATTTTGCATGTATATATAAAAGCATAGATCAACTTCTGGTTGCACCATGGACAGACTTCCAAACGCTCAATTCTCATTTAATGTATTTCCATTTTAAGACTCCTTTGTGGTGCCAGAGCAGTAGAAAGTGGTCGTAGTGTAAATGAGAATCAGGCCCATAGTATGATTGCTCGAGTTTAGGCAGAAGTCTGGCATTTTGGAGTTCACTCACTTCTTTTCCTGGACGCTCATTTGCATATGTTTAAAATAATTGTAGCAACACTGGAAATGCCTGGTATTTTCACCAAAAACCCTGGTTTTGATGGGTTCATAACTCAGCTGTTTTAGTTCGCAGAGGGCTGAAACTTAATGGACTGTGAATCAATTTCAGATCTAATATGCAGACTCTAAATCTCATAGAGATGGCAGGAGATGCCTCTTCCTAGCAGTATAATATAGTGTATAATATAATATAGTGCCCTGATTTCTTGAATTACAGCTCTGCCACGTTTAGAGACTTCATTGTTTGTGGTGCAGAGCCTTCCAAACAACCTGCTTTCCCTGTCCCAAGCCAAACATCTAATAACAGCCAGGAGAGCAGCCAAGTTCGAGCATGTGCCTTAAAGGCCTGAACTCTCAACACGAGAAGTGTTCTAATGTATATGCATCCGAGTTTGGAAACAAAAGCCAGGCAAGAACTATGTTCAATGTGTTCCATGCCATATACTGTGTTTGCTTTTTAATTTCTCCTCAAAATATGCACATAACGCATGTCAACAGCTATAGAAGATACCCACATGTGTCCAGGGGCAAAACTGTTCTTGCTCTTAAGTGATTTCATTGGAATGCAGTAGACTGGTGGTCAGGGGAATAGAACTGAAGTGTTCCGCAGTGGTTCCACTCCAAACCAAGGTCTTAGCAAAGGAGCTTGTGGGAGTGCAGATAAAAGAAGAGGTTCTATAGCAAATCTGGATTGATGATAGACACAATGCATACAGTCTGAACAAATAATGACAAATTTCTGTAGGGCTCAACCTGGCCATCCTAACTCAGGCCAAACACCCATCAATCTGAATCAGTTCCCAGCCTAAGGACATGCAGGATCAGGCAACAAAATATTACTTGCAGAAAAATATTTGAAAAAAAAACACGTGGAAGTCCAATGGTGAGATAGTGACAAGTGTGATTAGAAGAGGTTGTAGGCCCAATTTTTATATAACAAAATCCTTTGGCATTTTTGGACAGTGGTTACCTCAGGTGGTTGACCGGCATGTGTCATGATCTTCGGTGCAACCTGATTTGTCTTATTTTACATCTGTCTCTCAATTTGGGGTACTTTTTTGTCCGAATGGTATTTCCATAAATCCCTCTAATGCAGATACTGTAAATTGTAATTCTGCAATCCTGCTATGGCAATGCTTTCCGGTTAGAAGGAGGAAAGGTTCTTGTGGTTGTTTGGGCGTCGTCGGCACCAAATTGAGTGTGTCTGTGTCATAATCAAGCGGGAAACTTTCTGGAACACTTAAAATGAGAGAGGAGCCTTAACATTTAGACCCAAATTCGAGTTAGGCTGGCAATTGCATTCAACACCAAATCAGGGCCGAAGTTGAGGTTCACATGAATGGTGCAGAAATCTGGCTAGCTGTTCTTGTGATGCTTTGGTCCCAACTGATGTAAATCTTTCCAGATCACCCATCCTGCTTTGTGATTTTAAATATACCTGATCCAGTACAAGCTGGTGGAGGGGGGAAGGAGGGAGGGGAAGCACCTTCCAACCCAGTCCAGAACCAGCGGGGGTTGGGTTCAGACCTAATTTTAAACCCCACTCTCCCTCTCTCTCCTCCAAATGTGAAAAGGTTTGGCTTCGAGGTTTGGTTTATTTAAGCTCTAATTCTAAACATTAGCTAAATAAATGAAACCCAGTGCCCTGTTTAATTTTATCTGTGCTTTGCTTTCAGGTGGTCCTACCATGACTTTTTCAATAGGTATCGAGTTCTTATGAAAAAGAGGGAGATCTCTAAAAATGACAAGAAGTTGATCTGTAAAACGCTTCTGGAAAACCTCATTAAGGTGAGCTGGGACTGAAGCTTTGGAAACAATCATTAACTGCAGAAGCTGTTGACACTGATAATATCTCAGCTCACCTTCCCTTCCTCCCCATTTGCCTGCTGTAGCTGAAAATGCTGATGTGTCCCTGGCACTCAGGAGCGTCTTCCAAAGTCAAACCATCTCAGAACGAATAATGAGACTAAATGAGACATGGCATGAGATCTGTTGATTGCATTCAAGCTGAAAAAGCCTTTTTTCTGCAATTGAATTCCACAGCTCGTTCGTGGACAGTAAATGATAGTGAGTTACTATCCCCACAAAACCCATTCCTTTTCCTTCTTTTTGACAATTGGAATAAAATCCTAGAGTCCCGGCTTCACACACGGCGTACAGCATGAGGAATCCCAGTCAAGAGATGGAGTGGCCGAAGGTCCTATCTCTCACTGCACAGAGACCCCCAAAGCGAGTCACCAATCACCTTTTCATATAAATGATAAAGAGAAAATGCAACAAATATGATATGTCTGCTGCATGGGAAATTCTTAATGGTCACATACTGTGAGAACAGTCTAGGCACTGAGATTTCTTTTCCAATTATTAGTTTGTTCTGTCCTTTTTTTAAAAAAAATTAACAAGCTCTAGCTGAGGGAGGTTCAGTTTGTCATTACTCAGGCTCCTTGGGAACTATTTGAGTTCATTTTTAAATTTAAGGATATTTTCCAATGATTTTTTTTCTCCGTGATTAAATTTTTATTTCTGAGGCCTTTTTTGTTGCTGAGGCCTCTGACAGGTTGGCTCGTTGTTTTCTTGGGGCCCTAGTCCTGCAAAGACTCAGCTTTATTCACTGACACGTCCTGTTGATGTCAGTGGGTAAAGTTAAAGCACATGCACACCTTTGCAGGATCGCAGCCATTATTTTTTTTTTCTAAAGAGATGATCTAAAGTTGCAAAATGCAGCTTTTGCATCCAGATTTTGAACATGCGCTCAGTCTGTCGGTTTGGATTAGCCTCTTTGTAAGGAATGGGGCCACTTTTAGAGTGTTGGCACAGATCTGGGTTCAGATTTTGACACTCCTCTCATTTCCCACACACAGTTTGGGAGTCTTTGGCTCAGAAATTTTGGTTCTAGCTCATCTCTTAAGTTTCGTCACAATGAAGGAGAACAAGCTTTTGTTTTTCACCCTATCAGAGAGGATAACATGCCAAGAAAGTGTTTGCATATTCATTGACTAGAATGGAAATACAGAAACTGGAAACAGAAAGGTCCACGGTCCAGCAATGCCAATGCCCTACCTCGTGCGGTTGTGATATGACATGACGAATGCCCCTTGATCTGAAAATAAATAAATAAATAAATGGAGATATCCCATCTCCTAGAACTGGAAGGGACCTTGAAAGGTCATCGAGTCCAGCCCCCTGCCTTCACTAGCAGGACCAAGTACTGATTTTGCCCCAGATCCCCAAGTGGCCCCCTCAAGGATTGAACTCACAACCCTGGGTTTAGCAGGCCAATGCTCAAACCACTGAGTTATCCCTCCCCCACACACCATCTGTGTTCCAGAGCAAGGTGACAAGCCTTCATGGTCCCTGCTATTGCCTAGTTAGGACAAATCCCGGTAAATTGCAAAACTCCCATTGACTTCAGTGGGACTGGGATTTGGTCCTTAACTCTTGTCAGCTGTTAGTGCAAATATGTGAAAATCGGGATTGTTGGGTTAAAAGCGTGAGTCTTGGCTTTATATGCTGAAACTGGTGCTGTGGGATAAAGTTTGTTTAAGCCAGTTGAACGGATATGGGAATTGAACTGGTAAATTTTATTCACTCTTGCCATCCCTACAATGCTGAGCAAATGCATAGATTCCTCAGGAAAATGTTTGTCTTAACTCAGTTTCCCTTATGCTTTTGAAAAGGATCCTGACAAGTTCCAGTTTGGACGTACCAAGATCTTTTTCCGTGCAGGCCAGGTGGCATATCTGGAGAAACTGCGGGCAGATAAATTCAGAGCTGCTACTATCATGATACAGAAGACAGTGCGGGGCTGGCTGCAGAGGGTGAAGTACAGAAGGATGAGAAATGCTGCAATAACAATCCAGAGGTATACACGAGGACACCTGGCTCGCAGGTAAGCGTTATCTCTAGAGAATGACTAGCTGGGAACTATAGAGTGGAGAATAGTTCCAGCTCTCTTGTTAGAACTACTCAATCATCTGATACCCCTTGTGTTATGAAACCTGGGTACATTCATAGATTCCAAGGTCAGAAGAGACCATTGTGATCATCTAGTCTGACCTCCTGCATAACACAAGCCATAGAACTTACCCAAAATAATTCCTAGAGCAGATCTTGATATCACAAGTACATGACCTGCCTTATCTTCAGAAGCACTAAGCACCTGCAGTTGCCATTGACTTTATAGGGAGTTGCAGATGTCCTGCACCTCTGAAAATAAAGCCCATTCTATGTGTATGTAGACCATGGACAATGTGGTGTAACTGTAAGAATAAGGGCATGGGAGTCAGAATCCCTGGGTTCTGTCCCCAACTCTACCTGTGATTTTTAGGAAGGTCGCTTAAATTCTTTTAGCCCTTGTTAGAGGGTTTATTCCTTCACCCTCTTACTTCCCTGGTCCTTCTCGCATGAACAGAGAGCAACAATACCTGAAGTCCGAAGGTGCAAACAATTCGATGTTTATTGGGATGAACTTCCAGCAAGCAATGATTCCAATTTCCTTCCTCAGTGTCCCCTTCCCAGCTCTGATGTCACAGAGCCTTGCCTGTGTCCCTGTTCCCATTCCCTGCCTTAACAAAGCATGATTCCAATTCCCCACCCCCTTACTTCTTGATTGACTGCAGACTATATAGTAAAACTTGAGTTTTGCTTAACTATACCTTAACCAATCATTTTACTGAAATTTAAGTAACCAATCCTAACATATTGTAACACGATTATCTAACCAATTATATCCCACCACCTTAATTGGTTTACACCCAGCAAAATCACGGAACCAGACACAGATTATACAGACAATCAATAGGGAAGTGGGGACTGCAGTGATAGAACAACAAAGAAATGAGGATTTCACTCCCCAGCTATTGATAAGTGAGTTCTTGCCAGACAGGATGCTATCAAACTAAATCTTCTAGACTCTTCCCTTTCTCTGGAAGTGATCGATCGGATCATCTTTCTAACAGCCCCAGATGGCCTTAGTTCAATGTGACTAGTTTGGAATGTGAGGATGTGACCATATGCTTTCCAGCCTATGGCTGCCTCTGCTGTTTAGCCAAAGGCCTTAGCCTAAGAACAAGGCCTTAGACTATCATAGTGAGAGAAGGCCTATAACCTGGGAGACTGATTTTGATTCTTGTTTTGTACCTCTATAACTAGCTAAGTGATAAGAATACACCTAAATTCTTAAAGTATAGGCCTTTCCAGACAGGCCTGAATATCTGTATCCTAACAGACCTGTCTACTCTCTCTCATATGTTAATGCACTGTTTATTGGTGTTGCACCAGTGTGTGTGTGTATGTATATGTGTGTGTATAGTGTGTGTGTGTGTGTATAGTGAAAACATGTGTGTGTATATATACAC